TGCCCCCAGTTTCTCAATCCAACCTCTGCTCTACGAGAACAGCCTACTCACTGAATCAGCCTCGAACTACAACATTCCCAAGCCAGCACTTTCTGTTTCCTTTGCCTGGAATGACTTACCTCGTCAGTTTCCCCCAGGCTTATCTCCATAATATAAGGCCAGGCTCAGTTTCCACACTAAATATTCTTGGCCCACTCAATCCCGAAGACATTTTCCCTGTTTCTAAACTCCTTTACTACACACTCACTTTTAACATGATCATCTTTATGCTACTTGACTTTTGGAGTATGCATGGAAGATTTTCTTCAGACAAATGGCCTTAACAGTAAGAGCCATGCTACTAGTTCATCGGATAAGTCATGATATATTTTTCTATGCAAAAATGCATCATGACTTTCCCAACCTCCACTATATCTTTCGTATTTTAAAATCGCATAGAAATATGTCTATTCAGTAAATCTTTAGGATTTGACTCTCAGGGCCAGACAGTGGATGCAACACAATGCCCTGCAATGCTGAACTCACATCAGTGGGTGCCAGGTTTGTGTCACAGGACTTCTTTTAGCACACAAGATCCATGTGTGTGCCCATGATTCAGGCTGGCTGAAGCTGTGTGGATAATGGCACGAAGACCCATGATTCAGGCTGGCTGAAACTGGGAGTGAACCATGTGGGGGTGCCTGTCTCATTCTCTTTCTGTCTTTCTCTCTCCCAGAAGAAATAAATGGATAAACTTGGGAAAAAAAAAAAAGAGCATACACTCAATAAATATATTTTCATTAATATTAAGCATCATGTTTTCTAAGCATTTTGGAAAATGTACAAAAGTATAACACTTTGTGATTTTGTTTTTTATTTAAGCAGTTAAAGAATAAAATGCAAGACAGATCGGTAATGTTTGAGTTAACCACTAGGAAAATCACCAAAGTAGGCTTACCTTGCTCAACATTCTATTTCTGAAAATGTCCTTATCTCATTGAGTGGGTTTAGATAGAGCATTTAAAAAGTTCGTCCGAAACACCCAGGCATGGCTTGCCTCTAGCAGAAATAATGTGCATTCCCGCTTCTCTTTGTAAATAATTGAATTTGCCTCTGAAATTCGAGAAGTTCAAGATTTATTTTTGTGTGAGAAACTGACTGCTTCTGTTTTCCCTTTATATGCAGTAGACTCAATCTAAGGCAGAAGAAATGCTGTGCAATTGGGGTTTGGTGAGTAGGGAGGATAATAGGAGAGATTGACAGGACTTACACAGAAGAGTTATTTTTAAGTATAGAGAATGCCTATCCCCATGCTGAAAGGGCCTTTAGAAAATATTACAGGGATTGAAAAGCAGTGGGGGCAATTCCCATCACCTGGGATAGCCAGGCTGGTCTGCAAGGTGTTGCTGCCACCTGCTGCATGCAAACAGCCATGGAGGGTCTGCCGCCTGGGTCTTGTACTAGCAGGAAGCCAGATGTGTTTGATTAATATTCTGTGGGCATCTGAAATCCTTTCTCAGGGCCTGGGTGGGTCTCAGAGGAAAATTAGTCAAATTGCATGCCTTCAGGCCATAAAAGTTTCTAGGTATAACAGTACCAGCCAGAGAGGGAAGATTTTCTGAGTAGCCACCAATGGGTACCTCCAATGAAGGCAAAAATTCTATTTAGAGCTCTGGAAAATAAATGATACTTTCCATTTTTCTGAATTTGAGGATTTTTTTTTAATTGCTCCATTGGAATCAGCCAATGGCATGGTGGTTAAGGCAGTCAGATCCCACATGGCCAATGGTACAGTTCAAGTCCCAGACTGGGCAGCTTGATAAACACACACCAGGTACATGTGCATGTGTGCCCAGCCAAAATCCCTAGAGGAGATGGAGAAGGGATTGCCGTATGACTGTTCCCTCTGGGGGGGTACTGGCACTCTCTCTCTCTTTCACACACACATACACATACACACACACTCTATAGAATATTTAAAGGGAAAAAAAGAATTGCTTCACTCAAGTGCAATAAGAGATGGAAGACCTTTAAATTCTCCAAAAGTGGTATTGTTATGGAATTTAATAAGCTTCATTTTTTTATTGGTTTCTACTTATGTAAATTCCTCTTACTATGACACACAGAGTAAGCTAACAGAATTCTCTCTCCATGCTTTAGTGTATCTCTATTTAACAGGGACTCCAGCGTGCAGATCGGGATCTGCACAGTACATCTCCTGACCTGTTTTGTTGCTATGTTCCATGCTATGATTTGAATGGGTCCTGCAAAAGTTCATGTGTTGAAATTTGGTGTGCTGTGTAATGTTTTCATGGTGTTGAGGGTAGAGACCTAATTATAGTGTTGAGAGGTAATTGGGATTGGATGGAGTCACAAGGATGGGGACTTCATGATTGACTCTTGGTAGCTTTCTTAGAAGAGCATACACATGGACAGGTACTCTGCTCTTGCTCTGTCTGGCCATGTAATGCCCTCTACCACCTTCAGATACAGCAGAGTCCCACTAATGAAAAGTCCTCATTAGGAGAGCAGCTGATGGTGCAATGGTTATGTTGCTGGATTCCCATGTAGTAGACCACAGTTTGAGTCCTGAACCCAGCAACTTAAAACTCATTCAAAACATGTGTGTGTGCATGCCCAAGATCTTGAGAAGAGAATAGAAGAGAAGGGGCTGTTGCATGGCCATCTTCCCTAGAGGGTGATTTCTTGCTTTCTGTCTTTCTTTCTGGCGAGTGTGCATGCCCCATAACAAAAAAATCTCTCCCACAATAAAACAAAAACAAAACAAAACAAAACAAAACACTCGTTAGATATAGCTCCTTAACTTTAAACCTTCGAAACCATCAACTAAATAAACCCCTGTTCTTTATAAAAATTCATTATGATAGTTTTTAGTGACAGAAAACTGAATATAAATACCTCATCACTTTGATTTATTGGCATTTTAGAGA